AGCAGGAGAATGAATGTATCCTGGGGTGGATTTCAGCAAACCTGGCAGTTTGCCGTCACCTTAAACTGAAGGTCCCTGAGCCCACACACTCCCTTGACGACTTTCTCAAGAGTGGATGCGGTTTTTTTTAGAGGCTGCTCTCCATCCCTCTGCTGGAGCAGTGCATAGAGACCTCTATCCGTCAGAGACAGAACAGAATTAGCATTTAACTTCCCTTTAGGATTAAACCAGGACTTTCTCTTACTTCTATGCCTTTTCCTAAAAGGGTCAGACCACTAGCTCTCAATCCCTCAACTTTTACCACGCCAACCAACCGATACTGCACCTCCCTGGCGCTGAAGCCTCTCTGGAAAGGTTTAAGAGAGAGCCTCAGCAGAGCCCGTAGGGTGCTGATGAGAGCCCGGGTACTTGGAAACACTGTCCCCAGTGGAAAGTCTTCTCTGATGTACGTGCTGGTAGTGAGTAGCCAGAAAGACGGTGATGGGGCTGGCAGGCTCGCTCAGTTTGCTCGTTCTAGGTGAAAATATCTTCAGATGCTGCGATCCAGTGGGGGAAATGGCTGTCATGGGGGTTTCCAGGTAGGTGGCAGAGAGGTTTTCATGAATTAGTCACCTGCAGTGTGGTATATCACCCTGTCTGGAAAGTCATACTGTTCCTCCTGGTGCAAACGCTTTGACCATGCAGGTCACTTGGCACAAACTCATTGTTGCAAGAATATTCCTTATGTGCAGGTGTGGAGGGATCTTCTTCAAAATTCAGTGATTTTCTCTCTCTAAGTCCTATGTGAAGGTGCTAAAAGCTCTGTTGGCAGGGATTGACCTATACGTCTTTTGGTGGGACCAAAAACCAAGTGATAAGGAAAGAAGAGAAACTCAAATACTCTGTAACAGTTCCTTAGCAATACACAAAGTGCAAAATTACCTTGCTGGGATACTGCAATGCTCTTAAAAGTGAAATGTGGGTTTCTCTTTTAAAAAAAAAAAAAAAAAAAAGTAAGTTCTGTTTTTTTTTTTTATCATCAAAATCCCTGGGCATGTAGTGATTTCACCCTGGAAGTGTTACACTGGTGAACTTGTCCATTGAGGCAATGGATTCACAGTTAAATGGCTGTTCCAGCCCGTGCCCTAACCATGGCTATATTCGTGTCTATAAGTTGTTGGCAAACCGTACCGCATCCATGGAGGACAAGACTATGTGCAGGTTTCTTTGGAGAGATGTAACACTTGTTTTTTTCCAGAAATAGAAAGCTATTGATATAGAGTATGTTTGATTTCTAGAGGTCTGACGGAAGAAGAGAGCTGACGAACTTTGTCCCTCAGGGTTTACCTTCATAGAGCCAGTGAGAAATGAGTTAGCAAGCACTGGTTCGTGTGGTCTGCTCCTAGTTACTTTGTGTAAATTGGAAAGTCGGATGAAAGAAGATATTTCTGTTGTCCTTTGTGGATCCTTTTTATCAAGTGAGGTGCTTCAGGTAGGGAAAACTAAGGAGAAGGGAGCAATAATGCCGAAGGAATGAATAGCTTCATAGTCTTATGCATCATGGACATCTCTTCAGGATTCTCAAGTGCCGGTCTCTGGGTTCAGGATGAGTGTCTCCCTGCGGAGCCAATAGATTTTTGCAGTGGATTTCCACTTGTGAGAAAGAGTTGTTCTCTTTAGAAAACATTGGGCTCATTGTGGAAACCAGAAGAGGGATGCCTTCCTTCTGGGCTTTGCTTTGCAAGCAGTGCGGCTTCGTGGTGTTTGGAGATGAAGGGCTCTTCCATTTTATCTCTGGGAAAAGCTGATGAGGTTCTGATTTCCTGTGCACTTGTAAAAATTCCCTGAAATAGCGAAGACTAGAAACTTTCTAATGGGAGTTGCTGCAACCTGTAGAAAGTACATTCCTCCTCAGAGAATTGTGTTTCTTTCTGGAAAACAGTAAAAAAAGCCTTACTTGTTTTCTACCAGCCATGAGATTGGATAGATACATGATGGAATGCATTCCCCGTTTATGCCTTCAGCTTTCTGAAAGCAAACGGAAATCTCGCGGACTAAGGAGAGTGCAAGCATGTAAAGAAAGTTGTAGAAAAGCTTTTCCCCATGCCTTTGGCCTGGGAATGTTGCTTGTTCTGTCAGGGCTGAAGTCAGGGGCAAAACTCATGCTTATTTCAATACGGTGGGGTTAAGCCCTGGGAGAATTTGAATGTACTTGTCTCTTTTCAGTACTTTGTCAGGAGCGTTTTGATACCGCAGGGGAAATATCAAAGACGACCAAAGTTTCGAATTAGGCAGCCAGGATGTTTGAATGGGATCTTCACAGCCTGAAACGGGGTTTTCTCAGGTTTCTTGTCATGCCTGTAGAAATGAGACGTACTTAACTGAAATCATGTTTCAGTGGTCGCAATCACATTTTTGGCTCTCATTGTGGCAAGATTTTTGTATTCCC